TAACAAATAAGGCCTAAATTTATCCAAGGCATAAACTACTGCTAACATTTCTTTCTCAGTTGTGGCATAATTAACTTGAGCTTCATTCAAGACTTTGCTAGCATAATAAATGACATGTAATAATTTTTCCTTACGCTGACCGAGGACAGCACCAGTTGCATAAGCACTGGCGTCACACATGAGCTCAAAAGGAAGGCTCCAATCAGGGGCTGTAAGCACAAGAGCTGTAGTAAGCTTCTCTTTTAACAAATTGAAAGCCTTCAGACATGCATCATCAAATATAAACTCTGAGTCCTTCACCAAGAGTTGGCTCAATGGTTTAGCAACCTTAGAGAAGTCCTTGATGAACCTCCTGTAAAAACCTGCATGTCCTAGGAAACTCCTAACAGCATTAACATTAACAGGAGGGGGAAGTTGCTCAATCAAAATCAATTTAGCTTTATCAACTTCAATCCCACTCATTGAGATTTTGTGCCCCAAAACAATACCCTCATTAACCATAAAATGGCACTTCTCCCAATTCAGAACAAGGTTAGTCTCTTGGCATCTTTGTAAAACTTTAGATAAATTATCTAAACAGGAATCAAAACAAGAACCAAAGACTGAGAAGTCATCCATAAATACCTCTAAATATTTCTCTACCATATCAGAAAAGATAGAGAGCATACACCTTTGGAAAGTGGCATGTGCATTACAGAGGTCGAATGGCATTCGTCTATAAGCAAAGACTCCAAATGGGCAAGTGAAAGCTGTCTTCTCCTGATCTTCAGGAGCTACAGGAATTTGATTGTAGCCTGAATACCCATCCAAGAAGCAATAATAATCATGGCCTGCCAGTCTTTCCAGCATTTGATCAATAAAGGGCAATGGAAAATGATCTTTCCTTGTGGCTGTGTTCAACCTTCTGTAGTCCACACACATTCTCCAACCTGTGATGGTTCTAGTTGGAATTAACTCATGCTTTGCATTTTTGACTACAGTCACACCACCCTTCTTCGGAACTGTCTGAACCGAACTTACCCAAGCAGCATCTGAAATAGGGTAAATCATACCTGCATCAAGAAGCTTCACAACTTCTTTTCTGACCACCTCCTTCATCATCGGGTTTAGCCTTCTTTGCGGTTGCCTTACAGGTTTGATGTCATCTTGCATGAGAATTTTGTGCGTGCAAACAGAGGGGCTTATTCCCTTCAAATCAGAAATAGACTACCCTATGGCAGTCTTATGAGTTTTTAGAACTTCAACCAGCTTCTTTTCTTGGTCAGAAGATAGTCCCTTATTGATGATTACAGGGTACGTCTCTTCATCTCCCAAGAATACATATTTCAAAGTATTAGGCAGAATTTTCAATTCAACCTTAGGTGCCCCAACCTCTATGTCATCAACTTTTTCTTTAAGCACCTCCACAGCAACTTCCTTTTTTTCAAAGGGCATATGTTCACAGGCTCTCAACTCATAATCAATCTCTTGAGGACGCACCTTCTTCTGTTGAACGATTTCTTGAAAAACATCAATTTGAAAACAATCACTATGCTCAGCGGGTCTTTTCATAGCCTCAGAAACATTATAAGTAATCTCCTCATAATTCATCCTCAACTTAATCATTCCTTGCTCAACATCTATTAGAGCACGGGCTGTAGCCAAAAAGGGCCTACCTAAGAGCAAAGGCTTCCCACTTCCTTCCTCCATATCCAACACCACAAAGTCAGCAGGAAAGATAAACTTGTCAACCTTGACAAGGACATCTTCTATAATCCCATTAGGTGTCCTCACGGATCTATCAACAAGTTGAAGAGAGACCGCTGTAGGCTTCAATTCTTCAATCCCCAAAGACTTATAAACAGAAAGAGGCATCAAATTGATACTAGCCCCTAGATCACAAAGAGCTCGACCAATGCAAATATCGCCAATAGCAATAGGGATATTAAAACTCCCCGAATCACTAAGCTTAGCCGGAATCTTCTGCTGAATAAAGGCACTACACTTCTCAGTAAGTGTCACTGTCTGGCATTCCTGTAGCTTATGCTTCCTTGACAAAAGATCCTTCATGAATTTTGAATAACCAGGCATACTTGCTAAAGCTTCTGCAAAAGGGATGTTTATGTGCAGCTTCTTGAAGATGTCTAAAAACCTGCCATACTGTTTGTTATAAGCCTCTTTCTTGAACCTCTCTGGGTATGGTGCTTTAGACCGCACATATTCAGGACTCAGCTCATGCTCTTTCTCAACCACAACAGGTCGCTCTGCAACCTTTTCTTTTTCAGTAACAATTTCTTTGTTTTTTTCTTTCACAATTACCTCAACCTCTGGCTCAACTGCTCCATCATGCTTCTCGTCCTCTTCCGCATAATCTAGAATTGGAGTTTTAAGAGGCGCTACCACTTTGCCACTTCTAGTAATAATAGCCATGCAGTCTTCCTTTGGATTGATAACTGTATTACTTGGAAAAGTACCTGGAATTCTTTCTGAAACTTGCTTTGCCAATTGCCCTATCTGATTCTCCAGGTTCTTAATGGAAGCATTTGTATTTTTGTTGTTGGCTCTAGTCTCCTCCATAAAGGTATTAGTGGTCTGAGCCATCTCATTAGAAGTCTTGGCCATTTGTGCAAAGGCTTTTTCCCACTCAGCAAGCTCTCGTTGTTGACTCTGTGAAGGCTGATTATAAGTATTAGATTTGAAATCCATGCCAACTCCCTGAGCTCTCCGCTGAAAATTGTTACCACCACCAGAAAAATTCTGATTTCTCTGAAGATTTGGCTGCTGAGGGCGCTGGTCATACCATATACCATTCACCTGCATTTGTTGAGGTGAATCAGAAGAAGCAAGAGATGGACATTCATTAGAAGCATGACTGTCCGTACAGTAGTCACAGACAAAAGCAACAGACTGAGCTTGAACTCCCGCGATCTGCATCTTGTCAAGCCTGGAAGTCAAACTAGCCATTTGTTGAGCTAGCAATTTATTTTCAGCCAGAACTGACTCATTACCTTCTAGATGAAGGCTACCTTTCTTAGACTTTGAAGATACCCCTTGATTTTCATTCCTGGCCATCCTCTCTATCAGCTCCAGAGTTTCATTCGCCCTCATGGTTTTAATAGTACCACCAGCTGCACCATTCAAAACCATTCTATCTTCAGGTGTGATGCCATTGAAAAATATTCTGACTTGATTACCAGCAGTCAAATTATAATGAGGGCACCTCCTCATCAAGTCCTTGAACCTGTTCCAGGCTGCACACAATGTTTCACCCTCAGTTTGAGTGAAGTTGGTGATATCATTCACCATTTGATTGTATCTCTCCATGGAAAAGAATTCTGCAAAGAACTTTGTAGACAAATCCTCCCATGTAGCAATGCTCCGTGCAGGCTGCCTCTCCAGCCAGCTAAGTGCTTCTCCCTTTACAGCAAAAGGGAATAATCTCAACCGGATAGCATCATCAGACACCCGAGGGTGCTTGGTTGAGTCACATATCATTAAGAACCGGTCTATGAACCTGTGAGGATCCTCATGCTCATCTCCTCCAAATTGAACTCTCTCCACCAACTGAATTATGGAAGACTTCAACTCCCAATTATTGTCAGCAATATTCGGTTGGACAATACTTGAATTAGGCCTGTTGAAGGCTGGAGTGAGGATGGTATCCATAAGTGGATTTTCACCTTCATTATTCGCTGCCATGGTTGGGATTTCAGGTGCTTCTTCAGATTGAGCACTTGGCACTTTTGATTTCTTCTGAGCAAGTCTCCTGTTTCGCCTTTCAAACCTTGTAATTTCAGGATCAAATAACAATTCTGTAGGATCAACCTTGCCTCGCATAAAACTTCAAGAGAAGATTAGTAGCAATGTTCAAAACAATTTAAAACAAGAACAGAAGAAAATAAAATAAAATAATCACAAAAAGAAAGAAAAATCTTGAAATTCAAGATTATAAGATATAAGAAATCACAATCCCCGGCAACGGCGCCAAAAACTTGATACAGTCCGGCAAGTGTACCGATCGTTCAAGTAATAAAGTGATAAGTAAGTTATCGTCTCCACAGGGATTGTGAGCGAATATCTTATAAACGTCCTTTCAAGATATAAAACCCAAGTGATTTGAAGAACAATAGAAATTAAAGACAAAGACGTATTTTTGGATTTTAAAAATAAGAGAATGATGCAAAATGATTTGGATAAAAATATGAGAGATATTGCAGGTAAGTACACTCGCCCTATGATCCCCTCTTTTCACTACGGATTGATTCACATTGCTCAATTAAAATAAACAATCAAACAATTTATCATCCAAACAATTATTAGCTAAACCCCAATTCCTTGCAAATTTAGCCCTTTAATCACAATTAAAACCCCAATTCCTTGCAATGTTTCAATTGAGATCAAGCATTACACATATAAATTAAACGTTTGTAATCAAGAATGCGTCTATTCCTAGCACGCATGATAATTATTATCCTACCCCCTTTCTGGACCAAAACCCCAATATTCCTATCTAGGGTTCTAACCCTCAGATTATCATTCACTATTAAACTGATCAGATTTAATATAAACGATAAGCAATACGCACAGAGTAGACATAAATCAATTAAATTAAAGAGCGAAAAGTAAACCAATCCATAACTAAACAAAAGGTTCACATAGGGTTTGTGACCTTACCCACAATGAAGGAAACTAGCCAGACTTGGTCATAGCTAAAACTAATCCAATATTCAAAAGCATAAAATTACAGAGAAAAGAGAAGAAGAAGAACTGTAGAAGAATCCTCCTGAGCTCTGCCGTCGGTCTCCTTCTGAAGAAATAAGTCGGAATCCTCTTCATTCTGTCAAAAGGATCCTATTTATAGGACTCTTTTTCTTCTCCCAAAAATACCCTCATAGCATCACGGTACAATTTCCCGCAACCCGGCGCCAGTTGGCGCCGGGTGGGCGCACGTTTGCGCCAACTTGCTGCCTCGAATACGAAAGTCGGAACTAATTGCACGTGAATCGGCGCCAGTTGGCGCCACCCTTGGTCTTTTGGGCGCCACTTGGCGCCATTCTCCCTTGACTTTGTAATTTTGGGCGCCAGTTTGCTTCATGTTTGGCGCAAGGTGGCATGGCGGCGCTAGTTTGCGCCATTCTGGCGCCAACTAGCGCCAATTCTCTGGCATTTGGCGTGTAGCACGGCGCAACTTGGCGTGGGATTTCTTCACTTTGGCGTCAACTTGCGCCAACTCTCTGGAGATTGTACTGATAATAATTTGATGAGTCGCATCATTTAACTTTTTATATTTTTCAGTTCTATTTCCTGTAAAAATACAATCAATACGTGAGAAATATTATTGACAAGAAAGAATCAATATAATTAGCAAATATGTAATTAAATTGCTCTTTTGTGACTCAATTCTTATCAAATTTAATATGGAAAAACCACACTTGCCAGAGGCACATCAATTGTGATTGCTAAACTAAAAAGGTTAAAATCAGATCTAAAATTGTGGATTGTGTTTTTATTGGATACACTCTCAACAGTATTGCATATAAGTTCCTTGTTCATAAACTTAAGGTCTCGAAAATTAGAGGTGGCAATATGGGTTGAACCCGACGGGTCAACCCGCCAAAACAGGGCGGGTTGGGCTACACATTTCAATCAATTTTGCCACCTTTATCGAAAATCCATGTTAATACGATTATATAATCAAGGGAAGCCACATTCTTTAAAAACATCTTTTTGTATAACATGGTATGTGGAGGAAACTAGGGATGTGCAAAATAACCAAAAAAATTGAACCGAATCGTGAACCGAACTGAACTGCACTTAAAATAACCTGTTTTTAAGAACCTGTTCATGAACCAAACTTGTTTTTAAAGAATCGGTTCATGAACCAAACTGATTTTTAAAACCAATTCAAGAACTGAATCATTTTTGAACCGAACCGAACCATTTTTGAACCAAATTGAATTGATTTTTATTACTTTATTTCTCTAATTTTTTATTTATTTTTTCAGAAATAAGGTCGACCCGAACCGGTTTCGAACAGAACCGAATCGTTTTCAACAGAACTAAACCATTTTTGAACCGAACCATTTAAAGCAATTCAGTTCGATTTTTCAAAAAATTCGGTTCAATTCGACCAACGCACACCCCTAAGGGAAACAATAATGATGCATTATCCACCTTCAAGTCCAATGAGCTCTCGTATAAGAGGGTGTGTTAGAGAAATATGATATAAAATATAAAATCATTAATATTTTGATTTTAATGCTACTCGATAAATTGTTGGAAATATATTATGATTCCATGATTTGTTTTTATTTTTAAAAAGTAAATATTTGGAAGATTTTATATTATTATTTGGATGATTTAGAAAATATGAACTTTTAGAATTATTTATGTTGTCATTTTTTAATTGCTTATATAATATTTGACTTGATTTTGATGGAATTGAGAAACAATATTGTAGGATATTATTGATTTTTCAATTATTTGTAATGTTATGGTTGGATACTTGAGAAGCATTTGACTATTGGTGAATTGATTTATCAAATTGTGAGATCCTTTTGATTGGATTTTCCTTAAGGAATGTATATATATTATATTTTATGTTTTTAAAATTTGTTTTGAGGAATGACTTCTACTAAACACTACAAGCTAACTGGAGTAGATGTTAGCCTTGATGTACCATAATTTATTTTTATATGGGAAACCTATAATTTAATTGTTGCAAGTGGGGAGCTTGACATTGTTGTGATTATAATTTTAGGTGAGGAGCTTGATTTTGTGATCACACTATATTTTATATGTTATCATGTTTCGCTTATTATAATTTCTATTATTTACTCATTAAGTTGGATTACAACTCACCTTGATTGTAAGTATATAATTTTACAGGTATAGTTATAAAATTAACTTCTAATTTCACTCTTCCCGTTTGATGTGGGAGTGTGCTAAGTTATCGGTTGTGAGCTCAACATATCATTCCATATGAGCAATATTTATACTTTAATTTATTTAGAAGACTTATAAGTTTATATTCTAAAGTTGGTCTGTTATTTCCACAAGTAGAGTGATAGGATAGCGGATCCTATTTGGATATCTCAGGCAAAATCAAAAGAACAATGGAAAACAAGAGAGGAAAGAAATTCGAGAATCTGTATATTTCAATTGAATACCTCAGAATAACATGCAAGTCCCTTTCTATAGGACACGCATCTTGCTAACCGTGTAACTGCCTTGTACAATTGCCACATAAGCAACAGACTACTAAAGGTTCATATTACACATTGCTAAGGACTCATACAATACACTTGCTAACTATAATAGACTATTCAATAACATTGGGCCATCTTGGGCTGATTGCACAATGTAATCCTTAGCCCAAGATGGTGCTCCAGCTCTTCTTTTTAATTTGGGCCCTTCACACGTATCATTGGCCCCTGCTGCAATAAGAACCTTGTCCTCAAGGTTCAGCTGAGGTAATGGAAATTCTGGATAAAACATGAGAAGATCATCTTCATACTCCCATGTAGCATCTTCAGGAAGTGAGCTGGTCCATTGAATAAGCCACTGTCTGTGTTGCTCTGGTCCTACTGGAATAACTCGGGACATAACAGCAGCCAATGGGACCTGGACTGGTTGGTTCTCCTTGGTAAGTTCAGGTAATGGGACGGCAGTAGTGGAACTATCCCCTTTAAACGGTTTGAGCACTGAGATGTGGAAAGAAGAGTGGATGCGACAACTGTCAGGTAGCCCAACTTGGTAAGCTACAGGACTTAGCACTCGAACAATAGGATAGGGGCCAAAATATCACTTGGAAAGTTTCTGACACTGTCTCTTAGCTAGAGTGATTTGCCTATAAGGCTGCAACTTCACCAACACCAAATCACCTACTGATAAAATAACATCCTTCCTGTGCTTATCAGATTGTACTTTCATTCTATTTTGAGCACCCTGCAGCTGATGCTTAAGGTACCTCAGCAAGTCATCCCTATGACTTAAAGTGGCATCAACAGCCTCCACACGCACTGACCCTTTACTGTAGGATGGAATCATAGATGGAACTTTTCCATATAAGGCTTGAAAAGGGGTCATTCCAATTGAAGAATGGACAACTGTGTTATAATGGTACTCAGCCCATCCCAGTTACAATGCCCATTTATGATTTTCCTCATGACAAAATGCTCTAAGGTACTGCTCCAAGTAACGGTTGGTGACCTCCGATTGTCCATCTGTTTGGGGATGGTAGGAAGTGCTAGTCCTCAACTTAGTACCACTGTTCTTGAACAGCTGAGTCCAAAAATGGCTCAAAAAGATTGAATCTCTGTCAGAGACTATGGTATTAGGGAAACCATGCAATTTGATCACCATATCACAAAACAATGAAGCTACTTTGGTAGCAGTGTAAGGAGTAGCCAAAGCACCGAAATGCGCAAACTTTGTTAAACGGTCTACTACCACTAGTATTACATTGAATCCTTTAGACCAAGGTAAACCAGTGATGAAGTCCATAGTCAAGTCTTCAAAGACTCCATCAGGAACAGGTAAGGGTTGGAGCAGCCCCAAAGGAGGGGAAGTGGTATTTTTGATCATTTGACAAGTAGAACACTTAGCAACAAAGTCCTGAACATATTTCCTCATAGTCTTCCAATAAAAGGAAGCAGACAGCCGGAGGAATGTTCGAGTAATTCCAGCATGACCTCCTGTCAAAGTGGAATGTGCTTCCTATAGGATAAGATTTTTCAAAGCAGAAGTTACACTAAGCAAATAACGATTTTTATGGTACAAGATACCATTCCTATCAGTTATATCAGCATTGGTCAACTCATTATTCTGCAGTTTCACTCGAATATCCTTCAACGCAGGATCAGAGTCATTTTCAGCTCTAATCTGATCGATTAAAGGAAATGTGACTTCAGTCAGCAGGGTGAAATTCATACCCGCAGGTTCCTCTTCAAAGCATCTAGATAAGGAATCAGCCACTACATTAGTTGTGCCTGGCTTATACTCAATGGTGAAATCATATCCCATAAGTTTGTAGGCATATTTCTGTTGTTCATTAGTTTGCACAGTTTGTGTGAGCAACTCCTTCAAGCTTCTGTGTTCTGTGCGAATTATAAACTTAGAACCTAGCAGATAGTGTCTCCACTTCTTAACAGCTTCGGTCAAAGCATACAGCTCCCTGACATATGTGGAAGCAACCTGCATCCTTGGCCCAAGTTTTTTTGCTGAAAAAGGCTATAGGATGATTCTGTTGTTTCAGAACAGCTCCTATTCCTATAGCTGAAGCATCGGTCTCAACAATAAAAGGAGAGGAAAAATCAGGAAGAATCAAGATTGGAGTCTCTGTCATTGCCTTTTTGAGAACTTCAAAAGCCGCAGCAGCCTCTTCTGACCAGAAAAATGCATCCTTCTTCATCATGTCTGTGAGAGGAGAGGCAATAGAAGCATAATGCCTAATAAACCTTCGATAGTAACCTGTGAGACCAATAAATCCCCTCAATTGTTTGATGGTTTTTGGTAGGGGCCAATTTTGCATTGCCTCAATTTTTTTTTGGGTCAGCCTTCACACCAGAACCCGAAACCAAGTGGCCTAAATACTCCACTTCGTTCAATGCAAAGGAGCACTTGCTGACTTTAACCATGAAGAGATTTTCCTGCAAACAACTTAAAGTTAAGACAAGGTGATTATAATGATCCCCCATTGATCCACTATATATAAGGATATCATCAAAGAAAACAACGATGAACTTGCGGAGATAAGGTTTAAACATATGATTCATGGCTGCCTGGAAGGTGGAGGGTGCATTGGTTAAACCAAATGGCATTACCAAGAACTCATAATGCCCCTCATGAGTTCTAAATGCGGTTTTGGATGTATCCTCAGGAACTAGTAAAATCTGATGATAGCCACTCCTCAAATCAAGCTTGGTAAACACCCTTGCTCCTTGAAGTTCATCCAATAACTCATCTATGGTAGGGATGGGGAAACGGTCCTTGATTGTAATATTGTTCAAAGCCCTATAGTCAATGCACATTCGCCAAGAATTATCATGTTTTTTAACTAGCAAGACAGGAGAAGAAAAGGGACTTCTACTTTCCCTAATGAAGCCAGAAGCCAATAAGTCTGAAACTTGCTTTTTAATTTCCTCCTTTTGATGGTGAGCATATCGATATGGCCTCACATTGACTGGTTGAGCTCCTGCAACTAAATGTATTGCATGATCACAATTCCTCGAAGGTGGCAGCCCTTGAGGTAATTGAAAAACTGATTGAAACTGTAACAAAATCTCCCACACAGCAACAGGAATTTTATCCTTCAAGGCCAACAATTCAGGTACAATACCAGGAACCAACTGCATCACTTCACCTGTGAATGTTAAACATTGTGGAACAACAGTTTTCTCCTTTCGACCAATGAAGTCTCCATGCAAAATCACCCTTTTGTCATGATACACAAACTCCATAGACAACTCAGAATAGTCATGAATGACCCTGCCCAAATTACTCAGCCAAGAAATACCCAGAATCACCTCAAATCCAGACAAATTGATAACCCACAGATCAACACAGAAACTATAACCTTGGATCACCAATGGCACATTCAAACATTTCCTATCACACACTAGGAACTCCCCATTACCCATAAAAACACGCATTCTAGGAACTTTTATAGTAGACAAACCTGCAGCATCCACTAGTTGTTTCTGGATAAAATTGTGAGAACTTCCAGAGTCGATAAGAATGGCAATGAACTGACCTTTGAATGTAACCCGAAACTGAAGGGCTCGAGGATTCATTTCCCCTTTTAAAGAATGTAAGGCAGCTTCATGACTATCTTCGTGTGCTACCTCAGGTTGCCACACAATCTGTTCCTCAGGTTCCTCTAATTGGTCATCAACGTCACCCACCAACAAGAAAAGTTTGGCAGGACACTTATGGCGAGAATTCCACTTCTCACCACAAGTGTAGCACAATCCTAACTCCCTCCTTTTGCGTAAATCTTCAGTACTCAATTTCTTAAAAGGAACATTAGATGGTAGAGCAGGTAAGGCAGGTTTGTCACTCGGTAATATGGCAGTCAGTGGTTTGGGTTGCTCCACTGTATAAGAGCTCTTAACAAAACTCTTCTTACTGCCTGCAGATGTAAAAGAAGATCTTAACTCCACGAAATGAGCATCATAAGTAAGTGATAGCTGCATTGCCTGGTGAAGAGTGGTGGGGGAATGGAGCTGAATAGCTCTTCGTAAATCTGGAAGTAAACCAGATACGAAGAAGCTCATTAAAATTTCGTCAGAAAAATCAGCGACCTGATTGATCAATGCCTCAAAATTTTTAATATAATCATTCAAGCTTCCTTCCTGTGTGAGCTTCGAAAGAACGCCCCTCAAATCGGTATATGCCGTGCCACCAAATCGCTGTCGAATTGCCAGTTTTAATTGCTCCCAGGATTGAACAGAACCACCATTGAATAACCACTGAAACCAAGGACCTGCTAGACCTTCCATGCGCATTCCCGCCAATTTCACCTTCATCGAATCAGGAACTTGTTGCAGACCAAAATAAAGCTCCGTGCGGAAGATCCAACTATTCGGATCTGTTCCGTTGAAGAGTGGCAACTCCATTCGAATAGACTTCATAAACGAACGGGGATCGTCAGTACCAAATCGCGGATGTGATGTTCCGCCCAAATCGTGCACAGAAACAGAAGGAGCACGATGTGCATGAGCCGTGGATCCAACCACCGCTGCATGTATTTCTTGCATTTGCACAGAGAGACTGAGAAATTGATTCTGGTGTTCGTTGAAACGTTGTTCAACCCTAGCTTGCATGTCCTCCAAACTACGATCGATACGAGTCTGGAACGCAGTAAATTCATCCGCCAGATCCTGAACACGCATAATGAAATCTTATTGAATTCCAAAGAGACGAAAGCACCAATGATAGGATAGCGGATCCTATTTGGATATCTCAGGCAAAATCAAAAGAACAATGGAAAACAAGAGAGGAAAGAAATTCGAGAATCTGTATATTTCAATTGAATACCTCAGAATAACATGCAAGTCCCTTTCTATAGGACACGCATCTTGCTAACCGTGTAACTGCCTTGTACAATTGCCACATAAGCAACAGACTACTAAAGGTTCATATTACACATTGCTAAGGACTCATACAATACACTTGCTAACTATAATAGACTATTCAGTAACATTGGGCCATCTTGGGCTGATTACACAATGTAATCCTTAGCCCAAGATGGTGCTCCAGCTCTTCTTTTTAATTTGGGCCCTTCACACGTATCATAGAGATATTATAAATTTGAGAAATTTAGTTGTAAGTGGAAAAATTAGGTTTGTCGGACTAATCAATGATAATATTAAGCTTAGTTTGTGTGCTTGTCAAGAACCTAAAATCCAGACATGACACAACATACCAATCTTATTAAAATCGGACTAGTTATTGACCCAACCGAGGTATTGAGTCACCGGGCCAATGGTTGAACCACATGAATAACCTAATGTAGTTTATTCACCAGTTGAACCGCATGAACCAGATATATATATATAAATTTATATTTTATACTTAATTATATGATGAATATTTTAAATGGTGCCACCTAAACAATAACCTAATATAGTTTAGAGGTATTTGCTATTTTGTATATCCCCAATGCAAGGGGTTTGAACCCCATTAGATATAATTTTTGAAATAATTCTCTTAACTTAATAGTTATATAATAAATATATTAAATGGTGCATTTTATTTAATCCCACCTGCTGCAAAAAATATATTGTAATTAATTCTGTATCGGTTGAACCGTGGTTTATCACCGGGTCACTGATTGGGTTAATACCGGATCAAATGCTTAAGCGGTCCAATGCTACAATCGAATCAGTTGATAGGCCAATTTTCGGGCCAGCCGATCAGACTGGTGCGTCGGTCCGATTTTAATAACACTGCAACATACCCTTTCACAAGTAATGTTAGGTCATCCATAGAAAAACATATATTTTTATGTCACATGTAACATAACGTTACCTTGGTTAGACCAGTCATTTCAAATGTAAACTGCCATCTCTGACGAGTCAGAGAAAGTTCAAAGAAAGTTTATCAGGGTGACTCAAGTAGCCAAAAAGGAGCACATATGCGAACCAAGGAACCAAAGTGGGCTGAGGTTGATTAACCTGCGTCGATATAATGAGGCTTTCCTCCAGAAAATTGCGTGAAAGATTATATCAGTCCAAGCGACCTTTGGGTGCAAGTTCTTGCAGTCGAATTCTTTGAATCGAGGTCGTTTATAGTTTTTTAAAAACAACAGACGTTCTCGTAAACGATCTCATCCATTTAAATAATTTAATTTTATAATTAATTATATATATTTAAATAAATGTAAACCGTCCTAATACAAATTGCACGAGGCATACAATTTATGGTTTAATAGGCGCCACTTCGCTTAACTTGGGCTTGTTTAAATCATCATTGCAGCATCAACTTCTTGAGCAGAGACAATGTGCATATTAAGCCAACATTGAGATTCAGTTGAATTCAACATTTGATAGTTTCATAGTTTACCAATATTCAACAGGTTATGTTGTGTGCACCAAAAATAAATTAAAAATGAGTCAAACTGTGAGAGTGTATATCTATTTTACTTGAAAATGTATAATCATATACATGATTCAATGTAATACTTAGAGTATATATATGTATCATATACGCGCTATCCATTTGTCTATTATATGGAATCTATAAAACAACACAAAAAAGATTCAGAATTAAATTAACTGTGGATAGCCGAAAGGGTAATGTCAAAGGGACGATGGTACCATACCACAACACGCTTTTACTAAGTCGAATATTGCAAACCCGCACCTTGGGGTTTCCAATTAGTCCTGGCCCATCTCTTTTGAACTTTTATATTGAAGCCCACAAATACAGGATACTTTTATATAAGTACCCTTAACAAGGAAATTTCATATGTAATTGATTTGGAACAAGTACGTATGGAGTCTTCTAAAACCCCTTTTAACTTTAATAAATTCCCTTCACAATGTACAATCAATTGAGAATGTTATACTTTTACCTTTAAAGGGTGGATTTTGGCTAGCAAAACTGGGAAATGACGAGCTTTGAAGAATAGTGTGAGCTATTGATTATGAACCTTTGATCCAACAAATCTAGATATCCAAAATTTGAGAGGATACGAAGCTTACTTATGTGAATGGGTCGAATTAAATTGAATTTTTTGAAGAACTGAACAAAATTAGTTTAAATAAATTCGCTTCAAAGAACCAAACTTCTTTTCTCTTATCCCAAACTAGTCTGGTTCGGTTCGAAAACAATTTGGGTCAGTTCGAAACGATTCAGGTCGATTTGAAAACGGTTTGGTTTGGTTCAGAATCAGTTCGGGTCAAACATATTCTAAAAAGAAAAGAAAAGAAAATTAAAGAAAGGGATAGGATATTGTAACAACCAAAAAATGTTACAACCAATGTTACGACCACTAATCTAACCGTTAAATTGAAAATCTCATCTGACGGTCCTGATTCAAGGTATATATAGTCTTCTTTATTCCCTTCACTCTCTCCCTTCTCCCTTTCTTTTCCCTTTTCTCTCTCTCACTATACTGCCGTTGCCGCCGCCTCCCAAAACCAGACACGTCTCGCCGCCGCTGCTGCACTCTACCGCCGCTGCCGCCGCCGTTTATCCCTTGTCCCTCTCTGAGTTTGAGATTCCCTCTCTCTACCGCCATTTATCCCTTTCTGTCGTGGCCGCCGCCTCACAAAACGGTGAAGGGAAGGAAGAATCTAAGGCCTCTGGTGGGGATTCTTCTATTTGTGGCTACGATTCTCTTCACCGTCTTCTGAAGGAAAATCTCAACCCACATCAGTTTAAGGTACCCACTTTTTAAAGAATTTATGTTCTAAAGTCAATTCCTATTAAGGCTTGACCTCACTGACACTATATTCATGTCAATAGTTAAGTTTGTATTGGAATTTTTTATTTTATTGATTCCTGTCATGGAATTGTGGGTTTTGCTTTCCATATACAACTTTTTTCAAGGGATATGACTATGATAATACCTCTATTTCACGTTGACATGCTGAATTGATCTTGTTTATTAGTTTCAAGTGCTCCTTTGACTTTTTTGATTTGGTTGTTTGTATAATTAGCTATATATTTGATGTAGCTTTGCATTTCCAGCATTATTTGAACAATTGGGTAATTTCTATTTTATTTTTTATTTTTTGAAAATTGAACTTCCTGGATACTTATGTACTTGCTTTTGAAAATTATTAAAACTTCATAGTACATGGATCATGTATCTTTCTTCTTAAATTGTTTTGAGGCATTGGTGCTTGCATCAATTACAAATTAAATTGGCCTCTTTTCTGATGGCTTTATACGCTAGTACTCTGTTGCAGGAACATGGTTTTGATCCAAGGTAGTTTGTCAAAATTTTGTTTATTTTGTTTCTTTATATGTCATTCTTACATCAACCCAAGACACTAAAATATTTTAAAACATGTTTTGTTTTGTCTTTTTCAGGGAGTGACTAAAGGAGTGCATTTGACCCTCTGTTATAGTAATTGTATAATATATAGTAGTTGTTTGTTGCATGTATTTATATTTATTTGAATGTTATTTATATGTTTATTGGTTTTAAATTTTTAGGTATATTATGGATGAGCATTCGGACTACATTAACTTAAATGATGAAAGTAGGAATGACATACCTGTTGAATTGGGTGATGATTTATTGAATATGGATGATGATCCAATAGATTACATCAACTTCAGTGATGATAAAATTATAGAAGAGATGCCTCTTAATGCAGGAGATGACATATCGAATGATTTAACTGATAAAGATCCAAATGTCATTCCCTTGACACCGACAAAGAATTCTAATATTTTGATTGAGGTTGGAATGGAATTTTCCGAACAAAAGGATGTAGTGGACTTGTATACAACATATGGCAAGGTAAAAGGTTTCGGAATCCGAATACGAACAAGGAGGGATAACTACTTCAGGCTAGTTTGTGCTAGAGAGGGTCATCCACGACAAAAAAATGATAAAGATGTTGCTCAAGTTTGTCAGACCAAATTAAAGAAGACATCATCATTACACATTGGGTGTGGAGCTTGTGTAAGTGCTTATAAAAGTGAAAACACAAAAATGTGGAAAATTACACAATTTTACGACAACCATAATCATGGTCTTGTGACTCCAAAGAGTGTTCGTTATCTCAGATCACACAAAAAAATGTCTGCTGCTGCAAGATAATTGGTTGAACACTTTAGTGATGCAAGCTTGCCCACAGGAAAAATGGCTACCATCTTCAAAGGCGATGAGTTATCATTTGACAGTTGAGATTGTTATAATCATCTAAAAAGTGTGAGGAGAAGAATATATAACACATGAGATGCACAAGCTGTGTTACACTATTGTGTTAAACAACAATCATTGAATCCAAAGTTCTTTTATTCCATTAAATGTGATGATGAAGATCACATGGAAAGCTTTTTTTGGATTGACGCAAGGTCCAGGCAAGCTTATGAGCTATTTGGTGATGTCATCACATTTGACACGACATACAGAACTAATAAATATTCAATGCCATTTGGACCTTTTGTCGGTGTAAATAATCATTTACAGTCAATCTTGTTCGGATGTGCTTTATTGAAAGACGAAACAGAAGATACTTTTGTGTGGCTATTTAAGGAATGGCTTCGAGGAATGGATGGGAAACATCCGGGGCGCTATAATTACTGATCAGGTATAATCATTTTAAGTACATTTTTTCAATTGTTTCATATATTAATGATTGTATTCTTACATATGTCATTGAATTTATAGGACATGTCAATTACCAATGCAGTATCCAAAGTTTTCCCA